ACTCGTTCTCCTCCTCCTTCTCCTCAACACCGCCTCCCTCTCATCACGAAAAACCTAGCATAACAACGAAGAACAGCAATCGTGCGTAAGACTCGCTAAGTATTATATGCCCGGTGCCAACCAACATGTATACCCAAAAATCCCTCGATACCCTCCCTCTTCGACTTTGATCGCACTCCGGAGGTATATTTCATGTGCCACCTAGCGAGGAAGGGAGGAGGAAACGAAAGGGAAGGGAAGCAAAAGGAATATCGGAACATTTATGGGGAAACCAAAGGGTTCCGATACCGCTACTCCCCGGACCTCTCCCGGGGTGCGTTCTGACCAGAATTTCAAGGCGAATCCAAAGGTGGCGACGAGGGCTGCCCAGGAGGCCCGAAAAAGGGAAAACGGGCGAGGGGGTAGAGGCATGGGTACCTTTTCCTCCTCTGAATGTAGGGCGAAACAAATTCTGAGCAGGAGGGGGGTGAAACAGAAACCGGAGCATTCGCAGGCGGCCCCAGGAGGAGGAGGAGGAGGGGGAGGAGAAGGAGGAGGAGGAGGAGGAGGAGGAAGGCGGAGGAGGGGGAGGAGGGGAGGAGGGGTAGGAGGGGGAGGAGGAAGGAGTAGTGCGGAGGAGGAGGAGGAGGAGGAGGAAGAAGGAAGAGGAGGAGGAGGAGGAGGAGGAGGAGGAGGAGGAGGAGAGGAGGAAGAGGAGGAGGAGGAGGGGAGGGAGGAGGAGGAGGGGGAGGAGGAGGAGTGAGGAGGATGGAGGAGGGAGGAGGAGGAGGAGGAGGAGGAGGAGGAGGAGGACGGGAGGGGGGGAGGAAGGAGGAGGGGAGAGGAGGAGGAGGAGGAGGAGGAAGGAAGAGGAGGAAGAGGGGGAGGAGGGGGAGGAGGGGGGGGAGGGAGGAGTAGGAGGAGGAGGAGGAGGAGGAGGAGGATGGAGGAGGAGGAGAGGAGGAGGCGGGGAGGCGGATGAGGAGGAGGAGGAGGAGGAGGAGGAGCAGGAGGGGAGGAGGAAGAAGGGAGGAGAGGAGGAGGAGGAGGGAGGAGGAGGAGTAGGTAGGAGGAGGAGGGGAGTGGGAGGGGGAGGGGGAGGAGGAGGAAGGAGGCGGAGGAGGAGGAGGAGGAGGAGGAGGAGGAGGAGGAGGAGGAGGAGAGGAGGAGGAAGGAGGAGGAGGAGGAGGAGGAGGAGGGAGGGGGGACGAGGAGGAGGAGGAGGAGGAGGGAGGAGGAGGAGGAGGGGGAGGAGGAGGAAAAGGAGAAGGGGGAGGAGGAGGAGGAGGAGGAGGAGGAGGAGGACTGGAGGAGGATGAGAGGATGAGGCGAGAGGAGGAGGAGGAGGAGGAGGGAGGAGGAGGAGGAGGAGGAGGAGGAGGAGAAGGAGGAGGAGGCAGGATGAGGAGGAGGAGGAGGAGGAGGAAGAGCGAGAAGGGGGGGGGGGAGAAGGGGGCGGGGGAGAGGCGGAGGGAGGAGGAGGAGGAGAGGAGAGGAGGAGGAGGAGGAGGAGGAGGAGGAGGAGGAGGAGGGAGGAGGAGGAGGAGGAGGGGCGGAGGAGGAGGAGGAGGAGGAGGAGGAGGGGGAGGAGGAGGAGGAGGAGGAGGAGGAGGAGGAGGAGGAGGAGGAGGAGGGGGAGGAGGAGGAGAAGGAGGAGGAGGAGGAGGAGGAGGAGGAGGAGGAGGAGGAAAGGGCTGGTCGGGCGGGGCAGACCCAGCGGGCGATCCGGGCGGACGGACCCTGGTGAGCGCCTCGAAGGTGGGCGGGGCAGGAGAGCGCTCGGACGGGCTTCCGGGCAAGCCAACGGGCGGACCTTCCAGTCGGACTTCACTGGACAGGGCACGCGAGGACAAGAGACCCTTCCGAGGATCACATTGCCATAATTAGGAGTGCAGGAGGCACGGATCGCGAGACACAGGACACAAAGGTACCCTGGATTTGGCAGGGTCGACCTACTAATCCGGGCCGACTGTAACGGGCGGGTCGGGCGGACTGGCCCTCACGGGCGGGTCGGGCGGGCCGGACGGACAGACCCTGATGGGCGGGTCGGGCGGGACGGTAAAGCTTGCGCGCGGGCATCCACACACGAGAATGGCTGGCCCTACCAGGCGAGTCGGACGAGCGGACCCTCACGGGCGGGTCGGGCGGGCGGGCCCTAACGGGCAGGTCGGGCGGGCGGGGCAGTGTTGCAAACTTCGTAAGGTGTAAAGAATACTCAGGCGAGAGCACGTGCAAATTGTGATCAAGTCTAGAGCGAAAGCGCGAATCCTTGACGTCAATAGCGCAGCGCCTGACTCCTCGAGCATATGCAGCAACATGCAATATAGCCGAAGCCGAGACCCAGGCGGTAATCGCCCTGGCGACAAGTCAACCAAGAAGAGGGGCAGGAGCAGGAGGGACGAGTATTGTCAGGAGCTCATCGCCCTCTGAGACACAACTGTTCAAAGCCAGCAGGGGGGAATGGTCAGTCATGTCTCCTTCTGCGCCCCACCAGGAGTACCTGGCGCACCACTCCGGGCATGGAACCCGGGGATCCGTCGCGCCGCCGCAGATCGGAGGCCGAGAGGACTGCAGAACCTCAGTGACCTGGGTGCGCCCGAGGCTGAGGCTTGCGAGCTGCGGGGGTGCCTTTCAAGAGCGCTCCGCGCAGAGGGGAGGGGAGGGAGAGGGGAGGGAGAGGGGAGGGAGAGGGGAGGGAGAGCGGAGGCAAGAGGAACGAAGCGGAGGGAAGGGAAGGGACGGAGAGGAGGGAGACGGGAGGCAGGGCAGGGGCGGAGAGGGGAGGGGAGGGGAAGCGAGGGAGGGGGGGGAGGAGGAGGGCACAAGGCAGAGGAGGGGAAGAGCAGGCTTTTGGGCTCTGGAACTTGGTGGTCAGGTCCAGAATCTCGGGCGCCATGGTGGCGGAGAAGAGGCACACCTCGGGGGGACAGCAGCTGCCCGCCCGCATCGGCCTGGGCCGGACCGCTCCCGAGGCCGGGGGTCCCAAAACCCTGTGGTGACAGACCACACGGTGACCTCGAAATCCACCCACGACCTCACCGCGCGGTCTGTCACCGCACGGTGAGGCCGAGGGTCCAAGACATCCTGAGACATCCTCTGCGGACGCATGGAGGCCCCAGTCGCCCGAGACATCCTCGACGCACGGCTCAAGTCACAAAGCCGCGTGGTGACCCCGAATCCCCACTGGCTCACCACGCGGTGTGGTCACCACACGGGCTTGGCACCCCCGACTTTCGGGGGGCGCGGGGGGCGGGGGGGCAACCCGAGCGCGCAAGCCACTGCTGTCACATCGCTTGCAGCGGTCGAGGGGCCGCAGTGGGCCTGCACACGAGGTCACTCTTGCGAAGGGTCATTCGTATGTGCAGTCGACACGTGGACGCATTGTGGCCAGGCCTGTGGCCAAGCCAGGAGGACATACGGCGAGCTCACGTCGTGACGTCCTGCGCGCTGGACTCTGACGCCGCATTATTGTTCGTTCCCTCCGCAAGCTACCGATACCGCTACTCCACGGACCTCTCCCCGGGCGCGTGCTGAGGACCCTCCAGGAGGCCCTAAAAGGCGAAAGCGAGCAAAAGGTAGGGGTAGGTGTACCTCCTCCTCCACTGAGAACCATCTCGGCTTTCCCACAGCGCCGATCGCTCGATGTCCGATGACTCCGAGCCGCCGCCAGTGATGGGCCCATTTTCCACCACCACTACCATAGGTAGGAGAGGGAGGAGGAGGGGGAGGAGCAGGAGGAGGAGGAGGACTTCCTCGTCCTCTTTTCTCCCTATGCCTGGGGGCCCGAACGTATCAAGTTCAACACGTAAGTGATGTATGATAACTCATGCTTCTGAGTGGGGGTACGATCCCTTTCCATTTTGGGCCGACCATGTCTGTGTACACCACAACGCCTGTCTAGTGTATACCACGACGCCTTTGTACATTACGGCTGCTTGTGTTCACCGCAGCGCCTGTCTAGACAACAATGCCTGTGTACACCACAATTCCTGTGTTCACGACAGCAGCCGCGTGCACCACAGCGCCTGTGCACACCGCGGTGCGTGTGCACACCACAGAAGCCGCGTGCACCACAGCGCATGGCGAATATTTGCGCCACAGCGCTTCCGTGCCCCTCCAAGGTCCCGCCGGGGCCCAAATCTGGAAAGTCCCCGGGGGCCCAAACGTATCAAATTCAGTATATAAGGTCCTTGTGATCAGTGACTTTTCTGGCCCAGGGTGTCTCCCGGCTGACCATGTCTGTGCACACCACAACGCCTGTCTAGCGTGCGCCACGACGCCTTTGTACACCACAGCTGCTCGTGTACACCGCACCGCCTGTCTACACAACAATGCCTGTGTACACCACAATGCCTGTGTACACTACAGCAGCCATGTGCACCGCAGCGCCTGTGTACACGACACACACACACACACACACACACTTTGCCTGTGTACACGACGACGCTCATGTGCACCAGCATTGCTGCTTCAGCACCACACCCGTGCACCACAGCTCCGGTGCGCCAAAGTGCTTGCGTACACCACAGAACTGCGTACACTTCCAAGGCCCCCGGCGGGACTGAACTCCAGAAAATCGTGGGGGATCTAAACATATCAATTCCAATATGTAAGCTACTTGTGATTATTGATTTTTCTTGCGCTGGTAACGGTCCCGTCTTTTTGGCCCACAACGCCTGTGTACACCATAGCGAATGCGTGCGCAGCAGCGGATATGTACACCGCAGCGCCTGTGTACACCACAAGGTGTGGTACACCGCAATGGCCGTGCACCAAAATTCTTATGTACACCACCATGCCTCGGATGCCAACGTGAAAGATAACTGACGTTGCAGCACCAAGTGTGCACACCACAATGCCTGTCTTCACCATATTGCCTGGGTGCACTCATGCTCGCGTGCACCACAACGCCTGCGTACACAACACATCCTGCTGCAACACCAGCAAATGCGCGCACCAAATCGCCTCGCTGCCTGTGCACAACGCAATGCCTGTGTACGCACTGCTCATGTGAACCCCAAGATGCCTATAAAAAACGTCGGTCGTCGGTCGTCGTCGTCGTCGTCGTCGTCGTCGTTCGTCGTCGTCTGTCGTCGTCTGTCGTCGTCTGTCGTCGTCTGTCGTCGTCGTCGTCCCGTGCCACTCCAAGCCCCAACGGTTCGCCATCGTGCACTGAATCACCAGCATGGTGTTGCGAACACCACCTCGCCGTTCAACATAGCGTTTCCTGCGAGATCCCTGCGCCCTCCCTGGACCTGCACAACCGGCTACGTTAGGTTATCCTCGGGGCAGGGGGCGAGCCCGATAACCCTGGTTTTCGCTGGACCCTTAAAAAAACAGTCTCCTCGATGGGCAGAAGAGACTAGCGTGCACAGCAAAACCCAGTGGGAAACTGCCAGTACCGGTCCACTCGGGACGCCATTTTGGTGGCAAAGGCGACAATGGAGGAGGTGACCAGACTACCCCGTGCGCCTGGTGAGGACACGCTCTGCATGGTGCTGTTGGACATCATGAAGGCGTTCCCTTTTGCCCCTCGATGCCTGCTGCGCGCGGTGCTCCTGCGCCTGACCCTCCCGGAGACCCTCGTGGACCTGGTGCTCGGCATACACGACATCACGGACTACGTCGTGCGGACGGCGGCGGGAGACTCCGACCCCTACTGACTGACCCGCGAGGTGCGGGAGGGGTGTCCGACCTCTGGTTTTCTCTTCACGCTGTACCATGCAGTGGCCATGGCCGCGATCCAGCCGAAGCTGCCCAAGACCCAGGTCGACTACGACCCAGAGCGGCCCTTCCCCAGGGCGGCGCCCGCGGCGACTACAAAGGCGACCCTGGTGCTGGACACGCTCTGCTTCGTTGACGACACGCCAGCCCTGCAGGGTAAACGCCACCGAACTGCCACAGAGCACGTGGTCAAAGACGGGTTGCGGGCGTTCGGCTCCCATGTTCACCTGGGCAACACAGAGCACTATCTCCTGCGCGGCGCGGCCCCAGCCACGGACGCCGAGCCTGCCTGGGAACCCGCCGCGAAGTTGCTCGGCGCCTGGTTCGAGGCGGACGGCTCGCACACTTTTGACGACAACCACCGCCTGGGGGCGGCCCGAAAGGCTTGGCGGGCCCTCTGGAAGCAGATGCCCAAACTCGGGCTGACAGTGAGGCAACGGAGCGCAATCGTATAGGCAGTAGTATATCCATCTCCAGCCTAAGGCCTTCCACTCGACCACCATTGTGTGATATCAACGATCCGTCGACATTGGCGCGGAGGCCCACAGCATGCAACCTCCGCTCGATGAGGAGCTTCAGGACGGGAACAGAGCTGAGAGTGGAGCCCGACATCCAAGCGATCGAGGTGCAGGTGAAACGACGACAGTATCACTACTTGGGGGGCGTCGCCCGGCGGCCCGCAGCAGCGCCTGCCCAAGCGGGCGTGCTCTGGCGGCCCGCATCGGCGGCCCCTCGTGCCGTGGCCAAGGCCAAGGACCTCCCCCGCCCCCACCGCTTCCTCCCCAGGCGGTGCCAGCCGCCCGTCGCGTCGCCGCTTATGCGCGCGCGCGTGCCCGCACGGCCCAAAAGCGCGCCGTTCGGACCCAGCTGCTGCATGACGGCCCCCGCGAGCCGGTGGTTGACGCCGCTGAGGCCATCGCTCGCTGAATCGCGGCGGCGACAGCGGTGGGCGCTTCTCTGTTCGCGCCCTCTATCACTATTGCAATCAGGAGCACTCCGGACCCCCAGGGCGATGCATAGCAGCCCCCTTCCGTGTATGGCTATAGGGCGTGCTCGTGAAACGAAGGCCAGCGAAGCCAGAATGGACCGAGCTTTGCCCCTCATGTGGCCCCTTCTGGAAAAGTGGATTTGCACTGCGGGGCCACAAGATGGAATGCACACGCCGCCGCCTCGCTGCCGGGCTCAAACGTCCCCATCAAGTGTGGGCCCCTGGCCCCTGACCCCCAGGCGACGGGCCGCGCCATGCAGGGCCTCCCTGCTGCGCGCGCCGCCGCCGCGAGCGCCGCCGCCCCCACCCTCGCTGCTGCTGGGGACCACCGGGCGGCCGCTGGCGCGCTGCCCCCGGCGGGCGGTCTTCAGGTTTGCACGCCAAGCACCGGGAGCCGCGCGATGGCACCATTGAGGCCTGGCGACTGGTGCTGTGCGCCGGCGCTCCGTCGGAGCGCGTGGTCCTGCTGCACAGGGACGGCCCCCCGTCCCTGGAGATCCGGGCCGAACTGGGCATATGCGGCATGCGCAAAGGCGGCGGCGGGAGCGGTAAGGGAGATGAGGGCATGGGCAGCGGCGGCGGCGGCGATGGGAAGGGCGCGGTGGCGGCGAGAAAGGGGGCAGGAGGCGGGGCATGGGCGGGAACGGAGGCGGGGGCGGAGGAAGTCAGACCCGGGCGCCGTGCTGGGTCACGGCGAATTCCCTGGTGTTCCTCGGGGCCACCGGCCGCAGGCCGCGGGAAGGGCGGGGGCAGCAGCCGCTGCGCAGGCAGCGCCAGGATGGGGCTCACGAGGACAACAGACGAGAAAAACAAGGAGAAGGAGGAGGAACAGGAGGAAGAGGAGGAGGAGGAGGAGGAGGAGGAGGAGGAGGAGGAGGAGGAGGCCGAGGAAGCGGAGGAGGAGGAGGAGGAGGAGGAGGAGGAAGAGGAGGAGGAGGAGGAGGAGGAAGAGGAGGAGGAGGAGGAGAAAGAAGAGGAAAAGGGGGCGGAGGAGGAGGAGGAAGAGGAGAAGGAGGCGGAGGAGGAGGAGGAGCGCAGCACCCCGTGCAACGGGCGTGCGGCCGCCTCGGCCCGCAGCCGGGGCCAGCGCGCAGGTCCCAGGCGCCCCCCCCCCCCGCAGCAGTGGATGGAGCTGGCCCCGGCGGCGCCCCGGCCCGGCCGCAGTCGGACCGAGGAGCGCGGCCGCCGCGCCGCCCCTGCCGCCGCGGCGGGCCACCCAGGGGGCGCGGACTGGGACATGTGAAGGCGCGATGATGACCGCACACCCAAGTCGGAAACTGTATAACAATGTTCCACACGCACATACACACGTGGCTGTGGCAGCTGGCGGTGTGGGAGTGCGGTTTGGGCGCGCCGCGGCAGCCCGTGCAGGGGTGCCGCGGGCTCCCCCGCGGCCAGCACCACCCCGCCCAGTGGGCCTGCCCCTGCGGGGATGGCCGGTGGGCCTGCGGTCCCTTGCGCGGTCGCCGCGTGGCGGCCCACGTGCGCAGGCACATGCTTGGGGGAGACCGATCACTATCCACTGCGTGGAAGGGCCCCGCCGCTTAAAGCGGGTCGGCCGTGATGGAACGCGTCTCGAAATCAGCACGAGCGCCAAAGGGCCAGGGACAGTGGGGGTCGGGGGCCGGCACTCTGCGTTCGGCCCCCCCGCGCCCAGCCCCCACACTTGCCATCGCTCGGATTCGATGTCGCACGTTTTTCCGATCGCAAGATGCTCCAAGAAATTCCTCGATGGTCCTCGCCGAAATAAGCGAAATACGCCCGCGCGATGCCAGGCGGAACGCGGGGTCAAGCCCAAGGGGTCGGCACGACCCCGCTTTGCCCTTACCGTTTTCGGGATCTGGCGGCGATCCGCCCCACGCCCGGGGCCTCCGACTGGGGGATGGCCTGTCGCCGCTATCCCGCCCCAAGCCTCCTGCTGCAGCCGTGTGCCTGTCCCACGGCGTGGGCCGCGGGAGTACTCGACACCTGCGCCGCGGGACGAGCGAAAGCTTCGGGGGCCCAAGCCTGTCGTGTCTCCGCGGGCTGTGGGGCCCCGCCCTGTCCCCAATTCTATCCACTTATCGACCCCCCCCATAACCGTCGTAAGCCGTATTAAACGCAAGGACATCATATTGCTAGCATGGGGCACGATAGCAAAAACCATCGAATGTTAGCCAGCGCGCCCCCCAGAGAGTTCGCCATCGCTTTGCGGGGATGAGAAACTACGCGGTGTAAGGTCTGCGTTGAAAAGCAATGTGTTGTAAGCCATTCGGTGTGAACTGTGGAGGTGAGCACTGTGCGGTGCAACCCACGCCGTGTAAGTAGGCGGCGTGGGTGGGAGGCATGTGCAATGGGGTGTAACCTACGCGTTGTGTATGTTATCACGTACGCTACGCGTTGCACGATGTTTGATGATGTGTGATTTGTGTAAAATGCGCGGTGAAAACAATACGTCGCGCAATCCATGCGGCGCAAGCTATGTGTCGGAAGCTTCGCGGTGGAAACTTCGTCGTTCAATGTCAACTTGTGTTAAAAGCAAACATAGGGCTCGTGCGATTAAGAGAAAAGTTCCCCTGCTCGGTCGAATCGCAGGGTGAAACCCGCCAGATTCAAACACGACGCGGCCGCGCCGGCGATTCACGCCGACGCCCGGCCGCATGCGAAAAGGCGACAGGAGTAACGCGGACTGGGGAAAGGGGGGCGGGAGGCAAGGGCGGCAGAAACAAGGGCCGTCGGCGCCGCCACCGCCGCGTTGGTTCCCTGTTTCGCAAACGAACGGAGCCCCCGTCGCCGGAAATGAGCCTTGAAGGAAACGGGCCCAAAACCCTGCACGATTATGTATATATATATATATGTATGTATATTTACATATATATATATATATGTAAATATGTGTATATACACCTTATGTTATGATTCACAACGATATCATGCTACTTGGTGCGAACAGCCAAAACACGTATTGCTTCAGCTTATGGAGTGATGATGATGATGATGATGATGATGATAATGATGATGAGTATGATGATGATGATGATGATGATGATGATGATGATGATGATGATGATGATGATGATGATGATGATGATGATGATGATGATGATGATGACGATGATGATGATGATGATGATGATGATGATGACTTTGAAATGTAATGGCACTATTTGCACTGAGCGACTGTTTGGGCGGAGTCCTCGCCAGGACCAGCTCGGTCGTTTTTCGGCCGCCTCGGGGCCCGCCGAAGGCCTGGGGACCCGAAGTCGGGAAAAACCTTCCAGGGCCCGCTTTCCGCAGGACACGCGTCCACCGCGGCGCCCCGCAGAGAGTCCCAAAAAACGAGCCAACTACGTATGCGCAGGGCAAAGTTCGGCGCGCCCGATAGGGGCGCGGGCAAACGGGACATGACGTCCACAAGCACATGTCGTCCGGCACCGACAGCGGCCGCTGCTGGGCAAGGGACTCGTTGCATCGAAGCGTTAAAGTTCGCTTGCTGTCGGCGCGCTTCCCCGCACACTCCGTGCCCGCTTCGAGCGCACCGGGAAGCTGCCGCTGTCTGGCCAAAGCCAGGGGGGCGCCGGCTGGCTCGTTGGCCCGCTGGCACGGTGGACCGGGCGAGAGGGGGGGCAGCAACGTGGGGGGTAGCGAACCAGCTTATGCAATTCGCTGATGCTCCTCACGTCACCTTGCGTCGAAAGCGACCGTGCGTCGAGGAATGGGCCCCTCGGCGGGGCCTCCGTTCCTCCTCTTCCTCCTCCTCCTCCTCCTTCTTCTCCTTTTCCCGTTCCTCCTTTTGCTGCTCTTCCTCCTCCCTCGCATCGTCGTTCATGCCGCTTGTCATCATCCGCGGCGCGGTGTCTCCCCGAGCTCCCTGAACCCTGGCGCACGTGATTCAAAACATGTTTCGCGCCCCGTCGAAGTTGAGTCATCATCACCCTGGGGGGTAATCACAAGCTGACACTGTAATACTAGGTCGGGCGTGCCCCCCTACAGGCGGAGTTGGGAGGAAAAATCATAATAGTCAGGAAAATACCCACCAAATAATAAGAAATACGCAAAAAATACCCCCCCGACTATTTTTTCTACTATTCTTGGAGATCCCCCCCTGTAGAGGGACAGGCCCGACCTAACTACAAGATCAGGACACGGGGCGACCACGAGGCGCCACACGGGCCAGCACGGGCGGCGGCGTGGCGACGAGACCGCCCGCCTCCCCCCCCCGAGCGCGGGGGCGCCTGCCCAGCGGCACGGGCCCGCAGAACGTGGCGAAGCCCCGCCGCGATGGCCCAGCCAGGTCCCTGGGAGACCTCCGAGGCGCAAGTGTGTGCAGTGGAGGCCAGTCCAGACGAACGTGGCGAAGCCCCGCCGCGATTGCCCAGCCAGGTCCCTGGGAGACCTCCGAAGCGCAAGTCCACGAGAGACCCTCCACGAGGGGCCCAACCCCGAGACCCCGGGACGTCCCCTGATCTCTGGCGAGGGAGCGCCACGCCCTCCACCGCAGGACCACCGCAACCGCAGGAACCCGGGGCACCCCGGAGGCAAGCAGGGCGCCTCCTGGCCTGCATCGTGCACCGCCTGGAGCCGGCGGGCGCCCAGTTCGCGGCGCCAGCGCTCGGATCTGTGCTCCAGGACACCTCCAGTCGACGGTGCGAGGGGTGAGGCCAGGAAGCGGTCTCGGAGGAGGGGGGGGAGGAGGAGGAGACGGAGGAGGAGGAGGAGGAGGAGGAGGAGGAGGGGGAGGAGGAGGAGGAGGAAGCCCTTTTTCGTGCAAGCTAGGCTAGCACAGGCATTCAAGCACAGGAGGAGGAGCGAGGAGTGCTTGGAAGGAGTCCGTCTCTCGGGCCGTCCGCCTGCACCGGGGCCTCCACTGCACAGCCTCCGGGCACACCCGCAGGCGGCCACGGCCGGCCACGGGCGGCAAAGGGCCAGAGCGCGGCGGAGCCTCGGGACACCCCCCAAGGGCACCGACGGGCGGCAACGAGCTGGAACGGGGCAACTCCACTGGACGGCCCCACAGGTAGCGTTGGGTCGGGCATGCCCCCCTGCAGGCGGATCTTGGACGAGAGAAGGAAACGCGCAAAAGATGCTCAAAAGCATTCAACAAATTCTCAAAACATCGTCCTCCGACTATCCTGTGACCATTTTTGCACACTTCTCTCGTAGAGGGACACCGCGGGCCTTAGAGGCAGCAACGGGCGGCAGTTGGCCACAACGAGGCGCAGCCACGGGACACCCCCACCGTCGGGGGCGCGCAGCACGTGGCTTGGCGGTCCATGGCTTCGGCGCGCCTCCCCACAAAGTGCGGCCGGCGACGCCTCGCCCGGCGGCGGAAGTCCGCGATTTCCCGTGGAGACGGGGCCCGCCGCTCGTCCTCGCCCCCCTCCCCGGCGTGGAGCAGCGGTTGGCGGCAAGCCTGCCCCTGTGCCAGACCCTGTGGGGGCGCGGACTTGGGCCATGCCCCGTGGGGCGACGTCCCGAGGAGGAGGAGGAGGAGGAGGAGGAGGAGGAGGAGGAGGAGGAGGAGGTGGGCTGGTGTCCACGACCCTGTGGGACCCTGTGCGGGGCGTCTCACGGCTCCTCGGGGACAACCGCTGCGAGTCCCTGGAGACGCAGGGAGAGAAACCTGGGTGCAAACACTGCTCGGGGCACAGAGGCGACTTCGGAACAGGACATCGTGGCAGAGCAGAGGCAGAGGAAACCAGTGCGACGACAGGCGAACACGGGCGCACGCATGCACACAGAGGATCGCGACGACCAGACGTCTGGGCCCTGACACCTGGACGTTCGGGGGCAGCGTCTTGAAGATGTCGTAGATCTGGGGTCGCCGCGCGCGCCCGGAAGAAAACAGAGAGAGAGAGAGGGAAAGGCGCCTCGACGGACGTTGATGCACGAAGCACCCCGGGCCCTCGACGCCGCACGAGCGAGCAACGACGCGCCACTGCCCTGCCCTGACCTGTGCTCCTCCCCCCCTCCACCTCCACCCCCGCTCTGCTCCCCCCCGTTTGCCTCCACCACCGCCTCCCCCGCGCCTCCCCCCCTCCTCCCGCCCCCCTCCTCCGTAGCCACTGTGGCCCACGTCGCCGCCTCGGGACTCCACCCCCCGACTCGAGCGGCGAGGAGCCCCGGGCGCGACCGCGGCGCCCGCCGTCGGCGTGGACCGACCGACCGGCGCCGCTCGGGGCGGCCGCGCGGCGCACTGGCGGCCCCCCGGCAGGGGCCGCCCGGCGGATGCTGCCTCGCCGTGGCGCGCGGGATCGCCGCGGAGGGGCGGGCGGTTTCGCGGGACCTCATCGGCAGAGCTGAAGGTCGGGTGAACGTGAGCCTCGGGCTCGGGAGACCCAGGTTGGCCTGGCGAGGCCGTCAGGAAAATGGCAAGGCCCAGTCTGAAATCTGAAGCGGACTCCCGCTGCGAGCATCCCTCGAAAAGTGGACCGTCAAAACCCAGGACGGGATCGCCAAACAGCGTCGGCAAACCCGAGTTCCGGCAAACTTGCGTCTTACGCTCAGGTCGGGCGTGTCCCCCTGCAGGGGGATGTTGGGCGAAAAGTTGAAGATATGCAGAAAATGCGCCAAAATTGCCAACAAGTGCTCAAAAAAATCGCCCCCCGAGTTGCTTTCCTATTTTTGAATGTTCCTCCTGCAGAGGGACGCGCCCGACTCAACGCAAACTCGAGCCTTGCGCTTCCCCGAGAGGGGGCGTGCGCGGAGGTCGGCCACGTGGGCCCCAGAGGCTGCCGGCGAGGAGCGGCGGGAGCAGGGGCAGCGCTCCCTCGGCGCCTCGCCGCGAGGAGGCGAGGAGCCGAAACCAGGCACGGGCCGGGCCCGCTGCGAGGTGCACCTCGCGCGCCAAGGGGACGGTTGCGGCTGCGAGCTCTCCTGGGGCGCACAGGGACAGACTAATACTGTATGACCTCCTTGGAGGCGCGCGTCCGACCCGAACTTATGGTATACCCATCTTGTAGTATAACGTTTCCCGAGCGGTGTTGCCACAAAGCGCCCGCCACGACGCATATGCTATAAGATTTCTCGGTGCGCGCGTCACCCCTGGGGGGGCGACGCACATATAGTATAAGTATGTTGGGGTGACGTCGATCTCCAGGGACCGTCGCAGTCGAGCTCGTCACGAGCAGGCCGTTGCGCATCGAGAACGTCACCACCATCAGGCTTTTTCGCGAGTAGATTGCAGCCACACGCCTTCCAAGAAGCAGCCTCCTTCTAAGAGGCCTTCCCCCTCCCCCTACCCCCTTGTGCGCGTCTGCGGTTGGCAGGTATCGGCCGGGGCCGCGCTGCGTAAAGACCTGCAGCTCGCTTGCGCGTAAACTCGAGGCTGTCAGTATTGGACAACCAATTATCCCTTCACCATGGATTCAAGGTTGCATTCCCAAGACTGTTTGTCCTGGGCGGCTTCTTGCCACGACGAAGAGGAGCGGGACAAGATGGGACTCGGCGGGTGGGACGGCGGCAACCGACCGATATGAATGGCGAAGAGCGCGTGGACGAGCAGGATGAGACGGGCGAGGGACAGGAGGATCAGGGATGGCGAAAAACGGAGGAAAGAAAAGGAAGGGGACGGCAATGACGAGGAAAGAATCGAATCAAGAAATGTGGCCCGCTCTGGAGCGGGAGCGCCAACCTGAGCTGGGGGGCAAGGCAGCGATCCTGACATGTGGCCAATACTGCAGCGGGTTTGAAAAAATAACCCTGACAAGGGTCCAACCCTACAGTCAGCGGCGTGTAGCGCAAAACACACCACTTTCTGGGGAAACCAACGGGCACCGAGACCGCTACTCACCAGACCTCTACCGGGGTGCGTTCTGATCAGGATTTCGAAGCGAACCCGGCTGCGGCGACGAGGGTTTCCCAAGAGGCCGAACAAGGGGCAAACGGGCGAAGGAGTAGCTGTATATAGGCACCTTTTCCTCCTCCAGCTCTCATCATATACTGCGCGTCGCGGGATTGGAGTTCGGGATTCGGGACATTGCGGTTGGGGTGGGCTGCGGAGCAGACGTGCAGAGGCGCACCAAGCCTCCTGCATCCCAGGGGAAAAAATAGTACCAAAAATGGCACAGGGATGGAAGCGGAAGCGTTGTTGAAACACTGTGGTCGGGGACCTTCGCGTGAAGCCCCATCCGCCCATCAATGTTACGAAACGCCATGAACGAGGCGGAGACCAGGGGACTGGAGAAGGTGGAGAAGAGGGAACACAAGGAGGAGGGCGACAAGCAAAAGCAGGGGCAAGGATCGAAGAAGAAAAACTGCTTAAACATAAACTTTGGCGCTCCGCCTGGATTTCTTGGGACTACGCGGTGCAAGGCAAGCGTCTCCCTGGATTTCAACTCGTAAGACTTGACTTACAATCACCACATCCTGCGGCCCTGCGAAGGACCAAGTAGAGAAAACACCCAGGCACGAAGGGACGTCGTCATCATCATCGTCGTCGTTGTCGTCGTCTGCCGCCTGACAACAACGGGAGCCTTCTAGGCCCCATGTGGCCCAGCACGTGCCGATCGTTGTCGGACGCATCCCCCTATGGGGCGGGAGCGGACTGACTGTGTAAATGCTCGCTCGGGGCCAACTTGTCGTTGCCCGGCGAAACTACCGAAAGATTGCGCGGGCGGGGTTAGTGCGTAAGCTCATACACGGGACGCACTTCCCACTTCCCAGGAATCCCTCTTAACGATCGGGCGGTGCCGGGATTAGTGCAGAGTCATACACAGAACGAACGCACTTCGCGTAAAGTGGCATGTTCCGCGTCTCCACTTTACGATAGAGCGTATTCGCGTTGCGCGTGTAAAAAAGACGACGGGAAGCATCCACCATGTAGTGGAAGCGGCTATACATAATAAATGAATTAAAACTGCTCCACTGCACGAAATCCAAAAGAGAAAAAAACGTAGCGTTAGCACTCCGGGACACGTCACTTTACGCGAAGTGCATTATGTGTGTGGGTTTACACACTAGACCAAGCACCGCCCTATCGCTAAGTGGAGTGGGATCGCCGGGGGGTAGGAAATGCGCCCCATGCATGAATTTACACATTGAACCTGCCACCCCCGATAGTTAAGTGGGATCGCCGGGCAACGGGAACTGCGTCCCGTGTGTGAGTGTATACACTGGATATGCCCCCGCCCCTCGTTGAATGATTTTGCCGGACAACCAAAAATTCGCCCCATGTAAGAATTTACACACGTTCCCCCGCCCAATCGTCCAGCGCATGCATCGGAGAACGGCTCAGGAGGCGCGAGCGTTAGGACATCGAAAAAACAGAGGGTCAAATTCTAACTGCCCCTGTCTGACTCACTCCGGGGTAAGTCCACGGTTGACGGCTTGACTGTCGCAGTTGCTCGCATGAGTGCGGTTGGGATGGGGGATGCGTCCTACACCGACTCGTACGTTCTGGGCCCCATGGGGCCCAGGACGCACACGTCGTTGTCGGACGGCGGACGATTACGACGACGACGACGACCACCGCGACGACGACGGCGACGACAACGACGACGACGACACCCCGAGAGGCGAAAAGGAATCGCGCGAAAATCCGGGGGGTGAGCAAAATTACACATGGATGTCAAACCTGCTTGTGTGTGATTCGCACGCTTTGGCCGAAATTGCCAAACAGCACCGTCATGTTATGCCTCTCAATCGTCGTCGTCGTCAGTCGTCGAAGTTAAAGTCGCCAGCGTCCTCGTAGCCGTCGCCGTCGTCATCGCCTCGGTCGTCGTCGACTTCGTCGTCGTCATCGTCGTTGTCGCCGTCGTCGTCGTCATCACATCGTCATCGTCGTCGTCGTCGTCGTCGTCGTCGTCGTCGTCGTCGTCGTCGTCGTCGTCTGCCACCTGACAACAACGGGAGCCGTCTAGGCCCCATGGGGCCCAGCACGTGCCCGTCGTCGTCGGACGCATCCCCATATGGGAGAGGAGCTGGCAAACTGTGTAAATTCTCACTTGGGGCCAATTCGGTGCCCGGCGAAACAACTTAGCGATTGGGCGCGGGGGCAGCAAGTGCCACAAGTGTGTTCCCGAATTCCTTGTGATAAGCAAGGGTATGGGAGCTGTGCAACTCAATGCCACTGAATGTGCTCTTCGAGGGCACCATGACCATCCCCTAAACAAGACCTGGGGGCAAGGGGTACCCGAAATATCAGACGACGTGGCGCGCTGCCGCCACACGTGCGACATCGGACCTGGGAGCCGATTCCCCACATTGGCTGGTACGCTGCGAGCAGCAACTTATCCTTGATATGCCTACTCTCGTTGGGTCGAAGGGCGGCTTCTCTCGGCGCTCGATTTCCCTCGGCCTTCAAACACGCTAGCAGGCTGCGGCCCACATGCTGACGGACTTGGAACGCAATTGCCTGGGCATGGAACCTACTCTCACGATCCTGCCCTGGCGCTCTGAGCTTCTCAGCCCACTGGTTCGCGCTGGCATCGGCCTTCTCATCCAAGAGAAAAGTGGCTCGCCCCCCTGGCCCCTGACTTCACTCTAAATCCTGTGACTCTTCACTGTAGCTAAGACTGCACCTCTCGCGGGGTGCTCGGCCAGGAGACCACTGATACTCCGCCACGCAAACAGGCGGGGCGCCGGGGAAGTCACATGGGAAATCTCGGTGACATCGTTCGCCGCGCACTTCGAGTCAGTCACAAGGAATCCGCCGGCAACGGGGAGGACAGCTTTCAGGAACTGCAGCAGACTCGCGGCTTCCCCCCGTTGACGGACTGCCGCCCGTCTGGGGAGTTCCCAAATCCCACGGCATGCGCCGTGAGCTTCTTGGGGCCATGCTGCCCCCCAGCTCGGAGGCCTGTAAAACTACCCAAG